TTGGGTTATGACGAGGGTATGCAGAAAAGTCGTACAACGACGAATCGATTGATCGTTGTAAGAGATTTAGCAGATCTCGATGAACATCGAAACCATTTCATTTCATATCTGTGACGTAGATTTCTTAGGTAAGATATAATTACTGAGAGTAGTTATATTATATTATTTATATACCGAGACAAAAATTGTACAAGCTGGTTTTGTGAAAATAGGTAAAGCTTGGGGAATTCGAGGGTCATTTTATAAATAAATTCAAAGTTTGCAAAACGATGACTTAGCTAAAAATATGTGCAATAGAGCATACTTTTCTCTCTTCAAAATAAAAAAAGAATCAACTGAATTGTATTAATACTTTCCGAGATAAAAATTCGAAAGTGCAGCCAGGTTGAGGAAAATGTGTTTTCTTCTGAAATCGTAATATTGGAGAATCTGTATTTTATGAATAAATTCGAAGACAGCAAAATGATGACTCAAGTCATCCGAATCTTGCATGCACGTACATCGTATATTTACAGATCTTTAATCTTTAACAAAATATGGTCTGTCCACTACTGTCCGTTTCTACTTGTCACAATCCCTGTGCCCCAATTTGTCGAAGCACAAAAGAATGCTTTCGAACACATTCGCCTTAATTTCCTCGTTCATTCGTGAGCTCATTTCTTGTACTGACGGTTAGAAAATTCTTTTATATTCTTCTTTTGCCAATTCTACTTAAATTGCACCTATCAAGACGATTTGTGGACTCCACAAGAATCCCACCAGTTCCCAACTAATAGGAACATAAATATCCAGCGACTTTCACAATCTACACGATCTAATCTTGAAACATGATCCATCCTGGCAATCTTTAAATACTTCCGGCAAAGCTCTAATTAACTGTCATCCTTGAGCAAAACAAGAGAAAGAAGCATGTTAATCCTTTCATAAGGACGAGCCGCGTAACAAGTATCGGACGCACTCAGTCATCGAATCCTGATCATAGATCCTGGAATTCAGGTCGCGGTGATGAAGAAGTCCATCCAATCAGCGCGAAACAGTGAATTGCTTGGTGCTCGGTGCAATTCCCTGAAGGATTCATTAGTCCTTGGTGCGTTTCTCGCTGAATTCCCGTAAGTAAGACAGTCGGCGAGCAGCAATCCCGGAGAAAACAGGAAAACAAGAGGCTCCAAGACTGAGCTTATTGAGAGGATCCCGCGAACTGTTCGGGTAACGAGGCGACGTATTAACGTTAAAAACTCCCCGAAGGACGAAGCCCACGCGCGATCCGCGACAATGGAGCCGGCTGCTAGAGAAAGCATTGGAGAGAAAAGGGCCGAGGACGCAATTCCACGAACCATTACCGGTATTGTCGATCTTTTTGTCTAGAGCCGAATGAAAGCTGCTCGTCGATTCAACAAACTGACCTGGCTGAAGTGCTCGGCTGACAGACGATGGCATAATCGTCTTTTCCGATGGGTAGCCGCAATGGAAATAGAAAAGGTCACTTGTGGTGATCGTTCGCGGAGAAAATTTTTGAAAAACTCGTCGGTTGCGATGACTTTCGTTCTGTTTGGTGGAGCTTAGGTCATAGGTTAGGCTCTTTGATAAATTCTATCGGTATTGGTGGCGCTGAGAATCAAGATAAAATTGTATATCATGGTAGAAGAACGCCATTTTGTATTTAATAAGTTCATTCTTGGTAAACGGATTAGTAGCCGCTATTAATGGCTGTACCAAGTTTTTAAATGATTTTAACATCATCGAATTTATTTATATTCGAAAAGCTGATAAAAGCGTAAATTTTACACCAGTAAATACATTTAATTATAAGTAAAAAAAATGTTTTGAATTTATAATTAAAATGACATCGATTACAAAAAGTTAAAAGCGTAAAGATTTACAATTTATTTGGAGAACGAATCAAATTTTACTGAATTAGGATTTTTAGATTTTTGAGAGACTTTTAGAACGTGGTATTGGAAGCACGAAGAGTTTCGCCATTTTGCGCGTCAACCAACCAATTCATCCCTTTGTATATTTCCATTTTATTTTAAGCATAGATTCAGCTATAACGTCGGCTAATAAAAAGATTCCGTGTAAACATTTTCAACAATCCGTTTGCAGGATATTATTTATATTAGAAGAGTACGTTATGTATAATTCTCTAATACGAGAATCTAGCAGGAATTATTTAGAAAATGCATCGTAGCTAATCGAGGGTTATTGGAGAACAACAGTGGATTAATGAAGAAGTTAGTTTGACGTTCGACAAGTTATATTCCAGCTTCCAACTGAATTAACTCTCGAATTAACTCGATCAAAGGGAGCCGGCGACATGAATACGTGCCCGTATGAAAGAAGACTCTGAACAGCGATAAACCTTAAGGGACGTAATTCGATTAACCGACAATCTGACCGTGAATTACGCCGGGACGTCTTTTCAATTACAAAAGACGACGGAGTTCTCGGAAGAGAATGGAAATCCGCGGGACAATCGGTATGGTTCTTGGAGGGTCGGATGATGGTACGACAGACGCGATGATTGAGCTGCCGAAATGAAATTTAATCGGTTTAATTTTCGTGAGAATATTATAAATATGATCCTCCCTGTGCCTTGGATTAACGGATGATCGCTTTGCCGAAGCACATTAAAGTCTGCGGACGGGGAACGTGATTCTTTCTTGGGTTTTATCGTTGGTACTGCTAAAGATCATTGTTATACGTTTATTTACTTATTTATTTACTTGTTCATTTACTTATGTATTTACTTATTTATTTACTTGTTCATTTACTTATTTATTTACTTATTTATTTACTTGTTCATTTACTTATT